TAATGGATTTTATTTTTGTCGTGACTGGGTATTGAAAAAAAAAAAAAAAAAAAATTTTTTTTTTTCTTAATTTTTATTGTTTGTGTCTTTTTTTTTGTTGTATCAATTTAGTTTGGCAACAGTTAGTATTAAAAAAGATAGTTCTTTTGATTTACGCACATTACGTGCAGTACGTGTTCTTCGACCACTTAAACTTGTCTCAGGCATTCCAAGGACTTCGAAGATACGAACTACGATGTAACATAAATCCCAATGCAATTATTTTAAGAGCAGCTTCAAAACAAAATATTCCAAGAAAATAAATTTCTGTCTTTTCCTATAAGATCAACAAATAAAAATAATTTTGATAGTTTTTTTTTTTTAATATTTTTGATACAAACTAATGATCTAGCCACTTTAGTTTTATCTTCATGAGGTAAATGTTCTTCAAGTGCTAAAACAATACAATTAGCGATAATTGTTAATAGCACCATATATTCAAATGGACTAAATTCAATTAAATAATTAATTAATTAATTAATTAGTTTTTTTTTTGTATAATTCTAATATAAACAATAGAAACTTACTTCCATTCAATAACAGCATTGGCTCGTTTTCGTATCCAATTTGTTTTTGAAAATATAAATAATGATCGTTCATTATTTGCATTTATCTTTTGAATATAATTTTTCAATTTGCCTTTCCATGCACCACTTCGACCAGAATGAAGACTATGTGGATCGCCGCCGGTCAATGCAGCCAAATTGCCACCTTCTTTTAGCGCCCTGATCATGGCAGATACATTGCTATAGTCGCCCATGATTTAGGCCTTGAAATTTATACGATTATCTATCTTTTCTCGTTCTCAGTGAAAAGGAAACATGGGTGTTGCAATATAATGGTAAGTAACATCACACATACATAGTAAAGAAAAAGAGAGAAGAAGAAGAAGAAAAAGAAAACAGGCGGCTATAAGCAAAAGAAGAATAAATGCTGTTGACACACACGACTTTACTCTTCGTTCGACTGACGAGAAAGAGAAAAAGACGTTCAGCAATCTCTATTTTTTTTCTCTCTATCACGTTAGAAAAGCGAAACGGAACAAAGCCAGTCCTTTCTTTCTCGTTCTTTTGACGTGATTCCCCAACAGAATTGAATGAACAACAGAGCTTAAGCGCAAAAATGAAACTAAGACTTACATAAGCATTCAATGTCGATATGAACAACGAACAGGATGATCAATTTTGTAGTGTATAGGAAAAAGAATAGGCGAGAACGTAACAGAATTTTCTCGTTGTTGTTATTTCACGGTGTAATTAAGCGACGGAAAAGAATTGATAGATACAAGACAGGCAATCGAAATAGCAGCATGCAAAAGAAAACATGCCTGGTTTATCTTATTGATCTTGAGTGTGACATTGATGATTCTCGAAGTGTCCTCAGGGTGAATCTTGAACTACTCGAGAGAAAACAAGAAGGCTTTTATCTAATGACTCAATGTTCTTCTAAGAAAAACTACATGTTTTATGATTAATATACTAATATCTTTCTCCAAAATCTTCATGTATTCACAATAAACAACAATAAAATCATTATAAACTTCTTAATATTCAAATTTTATTAAATATGAACGAATTAGTAATATCAATGAATAATACTAGTTGAATTATTTATATATCTAATGTTGATTAAATAATCTATAGATCGAAAATCATTTGATGTGCATTCCTTTTCTTTTTTGTTTTTTTTATTTTGTTGATGTTAGTTGACATAAAAAAGCATACTCAAGGGTGTTCATCATTGCCGTAACTCAATTTTGCATTATTTAGCAAAACAACAAAGGTTCTTGATGTGATTATAGATCAAAAGCGAACTTCTTTTTTTTTCTTTCTCTCTCTCTCTCTCTCGCTCTCTTTTTTGTTGTTGTTATGTTAGAATGTTAGTCAAGATCAAAATCATTATAATGAAGTTATGCATAAATACTTAGATCAGTTAAAAAAGGAAATCGGCATTCTACTTCGATGTGATCTAATCCATAATCACTCCATTGACATGAAGTGGAAAAATGATCAATAGAAAAATATATAATATATAATCTTCATAATTCTCTATATTGAAAATATAAAAGAATAATTCAACTATAAAACGTTTGTTTTTTTAAGAATGAAAACAACTACTAAATAAACATTAACTATTTTAATATCAATGTTAATGACGATAAATTTTGCACGAATAATTGATGTTACAGGATGTAATTAAAAAAAGAGAAAAGAATAATATATGATAGTTCTTAACTAAATAATTGATATCATTTGCTTATGGATAAAAATGATTTATTGTTATTACAAATAAGAAAAATGTAAATATATTTATCACATTCATTTATTTTATTTTTGTAAAAATCAATTAGTAAAAAAGAATTCTTGTCAAATTAAATTGTGAATGATGAGAAACAAAAAACAACTGTAAATGATAAACATCTTAATCTTTAGTTTTTTATTTTTTTGTAAATAAAATATTTTCTTATGACTATGAGAAAATATAACTTTCATCTTATACACTTAATTATACTATAATTACAATATAATTGAATATTAGTTTAGTTTGTATAATAATTAATTCTATGAAAAAGCTTTTCAATGACGTTTTTATATGATCTAAGAAGGACTAATTATTATTATACAGAAAGAGCATAAAAATAAATTCACTTGACTAAAAAGAAAAAAAAAGAAGCATAATACAAAAAAAATCTACAATCAATGTCTATTATGTCTTTTAATACGATTGAACTTGTCTATAGGTATGAAAATTTTCTTTAAATTCATATAACAATCTTATAATACTATTGGAATTATTAGACGAATATGACAGTTTTCTGGAATGAATGTGCGATAAATCGACGAGGAATAACATCGATTAATTTCTTTCTACAAAGAGAAGGGAAACCGGAATGATGAGCACGGAAACTTAAGCATGGATACTTAAGCACGGAAACGATAAGCACGAAGAAAATTTAGCACGAGAACGTTTAGCACTAAAAAGTTAAGCACGCAATAAGAAAAAATAATAAAGGTAAATATAGCGTCTATTGACAGATTAGTGAATATATATATATATAGGTATGCATGTAGATGTTTAACTATTTCCTGAAATAGTAGACGTTTTCTCCTCCGCATTATTAAGCGTTCTAAGGCTTTTTTGTGTCCACACTATTACAATTTGTCTAGCAAAGCTTTACAAATGCTAGGAAATTAATCTTGGTAAGACACTGTTTATGTATAAAAAATATTTCTTCAAAAATCAAATATTCATAATTCAAAAGAGTTTATTTTTATTTTTTCGTTGATGTTTAAGATCATGATCACTATGTATTCTGTAATCTCTACATTGTCTGTGCGAATAGATATTGGAATGTCATCATAAATTAACAAATTCATATTTCTTCTACTCGTAATATCATGATATTATATAGACGTGTAAGTTTTATTTTCGGTAACACCCACACTCAAGGCGTATTAGTAGTTTCTCTAAGATTTTTCAATATTGAGATATTTTAGAATTCCTGGGAGCTTATATTATAATGAGGGATTTAGTCATTTCTCAGACATGCTTTCACTATTTCAAACTTATCTAATTGATTAAGAACTATAACAATAAACTGTGTAGAAGGAAGTCCGCCTTTCAAAATCAATTCATCGAATCGTTTGGTTTAATAAGAGGTTGAAAGGAAGCTGAAAAAAATAGTTTGAATTTTTTGATTGACTCTAATAAGGTTATCGAAATACGTCTTTTGACTGTCAAGTACTTCAGTAGATCAGAATATTTTCTGCATTTCGGCAAAAATAGTTTGGGTATTTGTCTAGTCTTCTCTTCACTCATTGTGCGTGCTTAATTTTTTGGTGCTGAAGTTTTTTCGTCACTCATAGTTCACTAATTCCAAGAAAATGAATCGTAGTACTCGTTCAAATTCTCAAGAAAAAAAAAACTATTATATTTGTTCACGGTGTAATATATATACTACAAATTTCAAGGGATTACAAATCATGTGAAATTCTATGCTGTCAAATGATGTATATTAAATGATTTTCAAACATAATACATACATGTATTAGACGAAGTTGAGTGTCAATTGCTTGATGCTTAATAATGAGTAAAACTGAAGTCAAATCAACAAGACTTAAAGATTCTATTAGAATAAATGACCGTGACTCAGAAACTCTGCGGCAACTAAGCAAAAAGCTCACCGAAAAAGCTTTTCCTGTTGTTTAAAGACTTTTTATATTTTTTTTTTACACTTTTTTTTCTTTCAACTAATACCGGAGGAGAAAGGTATACTTAATAATAGAAAGACATGAAATAAATGTTTTTCAATGTAAAACAAAATTATTCCAAAAATAAATTCATTGAGCAAAACTGCACTCATGACAAAGATTTTATACCTCAAATAAATATTAGCTATCATTACATATGAATCAAAGAATAATTAATTCATTATATTTTACAAGTCTTATATCAGTATTTTTGGTTATACAACCTGTAATTTGAACGTTTATTAACAAATTCGTAAGAATATAGTTTAATTTGTTTTCATTTTTTCGCAGATTTACAACAGTATTTAAAAAAAAAAGATAAAAATGCAAACTTAATTCAATAATTCGTGAGAAGTATTGTCTTAAAAAAGATAGAAATAAAATATTTTTATTCTTTTTATTTACACGAACTGAATTCTATGATGCATTTAATAAGACAAAAACAATTACTATGTCATATAATGAAAATCGAGTTCTATCGAATGCAGTTGCTTGATGATTCGATTTTATAATTTTTACAGTGTTTCACTAATTAAATACCTTAAATCTACTGTTGTTTTTCAATGATAGGAATCAATCTTAGGCTATCGATAGCCGCTCAAGACATGGTCAAAGATGATTCCGGTCGAGGTGGAACAGAAACCAAAAGCAAATGACCCCACTCATGTCTATAGTTTATTGTCAAGCAATTCAGAAAAACTGGCATACAAAATGTAGCATTAATTGAAATAGAAATGAATGATTCAGAAATAAAAATAGTAGGTGATTTCACAATTATTTATTTTGTGACTTCTAAGTGCTAGACAAACACGATCAGGATATAATGTAGCGATTTGTTTAAATAATTAATTTGGAGGTTTATGAAAAAATCAAAAGTCAATTCATGTTATTTGTAATACAAATACATATATTCAAGTAAATCCATCGAACGGATAGAAAACTATGAAAGGCACCTCTGACAAGTTTTATATAGATCTTCGAGAGTTTGTAAGTACGATAAGCCAAAAACAAAGACATACTTTTGATAACGGAAAATTTCAATGAACTTATTGGCATTCAGGAGGACAATATGGGCACTAGTACTGTTCGTCCTCGTACTATACACATACAAAATAAAAACGGAGATTGATTAGTTAATTTCTGTCGAGCAAATAATATAACTATTTAGAACATTTTCTTTTTTAACACAAATATATGCATTAAACTATCTGGAATGTACTCGAATACTAAAAAAAATGATATAAGCTCAATCATAGATTAATTGAATAAATTCAGCAATGAATTCCAAAATAGATCTCTAAAACATTATACTTCAGCGAAAACTTGTGCAATAATACGAAAGTTGAAAGGTAGCAGAGAAAATTTTAATAATATGTTCGATTAGAATAAGACAGTAAATTTTCTCCTTAACTCAAGCAACTAAACAAAGAATAGCTTTCGAAGATGCGAAATATTCACACTGTATTAGATCGGTCAGTCACTAATCTGAATCCTATGTGACCTATTTCGAAAATTGAAATAGATAGAAAAGATAGTTCGTCATTAACTAATGAAGTTAGAAGAAAATCTATCATATAAGAAAAATATTAAGATATGATAATGTTACATGAAGCTTGTTAAAAACTCGAAATTGATGTGTCGTTCTTTGATTCGATTAAATTTTCATTGACATTTAAAATAACATCGAAAGAAATTACAGCTGATTCGAAATCAATTATACTAATTCGTTTATACATGAAAAAACAAAAATAGAGATAAACAAATAAGTGAGCATTATTTTAGCATCATACGACGACTAGCTGCGCGTACTATAATCTTTCGTTTCTTGTTTTGAATCTTATCGAGAAGTTGATAGAAAGAAAATGTCAAGAATATAAGAAAACATTAGACTTGTTTTTTATTGATGTCAAAAAAAGAAAATTTGATTCAGTGAATCAATAACCATTCTAGACAATATAAAGTATATACTATGATTTTCTGATGAAACTGTTCACATCATAGGGAAATGATGAACAAGTTTTGATATAAAAAACTAGTGATATAGTAATGTGGAAATTCTTCTTTAAACTTATCCTGAAAAACAAGTCATCAAAAATCGACACGTTAATTCTTTTTTCTCTATAAAATATTTGATCTTATAAGATCATTTACTTAATAAAGATATCAAAACAAGAATTCAGATTGAGTAATGAAAAAAATATTTCAATTAAAGTTAAATTGCGAACTTTTCCTATATGCATCATGTCAAACATTTGTACATGAAAGGTTTAAGAGTACTCTGTTCTTTGTAGTCATTTCTAGTTCTCAAAAAGGATCCGCATGAATTTTTCTATCACAGATAGAGCTTCTAAAATTAAGAAACGGACACTTGTAGAAAAAAATTTTCGGTTTTTTCGCGAAAAATCTGCTTCTTCAAAGGATCACATTGAGCTCGCTTACGATTCGCGTCTAACTTTGTCCAGTTATAAGAGGAATGCGCAAAGATTTGAATCCAAAATCGGGATGTTGGCGTTCAAAGGTCTATAAATTTTGATATGAAGGTCAAAAATAAAAATGGTCGTTTTCACCTTTGAAGAATACTTACAAGTATCTGTGCTCAAAATTTCAGTTCGATCGGACAAAGCTAGACAGAGATCGTAAGCGAACTCGATACGATCCTATGTAGATGCTCTATCTTTGGTAAAATTTTCATGCAGATCCATTGTACCCTTCTCGAGAACTAGAAATGGTCAAAAAAAGAGAAGCATATTCTTAAAAAATTGTTCGTGGTGTTAGTTTGAGTGTTAGAATGTCTAACCGAAAAATATTAGAGCTCCGTCGTTCTGTCTAAAATGTAGAAAATAATTTAATTGAATCGTAAGATATTACAGAATATGTAAAAATTGGCGCAAAAGATTGTTATAAACAACATAGTCGCATTACAATGAAATGAAACGAGCGTTGAAGAACTTTTAGGATACAGAATTTAAGATAAAATAAATTCTATCAAAACTTAATCGACTATTCCAGATATAGAACATTGAAACTAGGTTTTCGATGTGTGTCACGATGGCGAACGAATAGATCAGTCTAACATGTTAATTGATTTTATTTTGTATGTATGTGTTTTATGATTCTTACCTTATATCAAAGTGAATGGGATAGAACGAACTATGTGACTGACAACTTTTTTTTTTCATATCAAATATAATATCTTGAAATTATCTATCAGTGGTAATAATAGACAATATTAAAGTAATTAAAACTACGTATATATTTGAATATAATGCAGACTAACTCTTCTGAATTCGATTTTTTTTCTTCTTCTCAGCCAAGATTATGTCTGCTATGTGGATTCAAAAATAAACTATGAATATCCTGAAAAAAAAGTTTGTACCATTAGCTTATTGCTACGGAGACACTAGACGTTTACGATGTATTTTAAATGAATGTCGTGGTCTAGAAAAACTGATTTTCGAAACTCGACTTGAAACTTTGTCTAGAAACATGCCTTAATGAAAGCAGTCTATTATGAATGTTTCAAGTCTTTTGATTTGCTTCTATCCTGAATTAAGAATATAAAATATGCTGATTTATATCAGTAATATAAAAGATACACTATTGTCATTGTTGTATCTTGGGATAAGAACAGTGACAAGACCTTAAACATTTACAATAGACTTCTTTCATTTAGGATTATCTCTATGCAAAGTTATAATCAGTATCTTCATAGCAATACACTAAGGGCACAAACTCATTTCTTGTTATTCATAGCTCATATGATTCTACACTATGCACATAGTCTTGGCTCAAAAGCAGCTGCACAGTCGAAGGATTTTCTTTGTAAGCTCAAAAAGAAAAACAATACATCAAGTTCTGCCAATCAAATTGACATACTTGATGTACTCTGTGTGATTTTTTAAAGTATCTAATCAAAGAAAATCTTCGAGTGGATAAAATATCTCTAGGATTATTTTTTTTTCTTCTTCATACATAGATTATCAATCGACATGACAATTATTGAATCACATTCTATTATTTATCACCCAAGGGCATAGACTAAATAAATTGTTTATTTCTTTGCTCTATTTATCTCATGATAAATTCTTTCTCGAAAGCAAATAAAAAAAAAATGGACACATATTTATATTTCTTACCCACCCGAAAGAATGGAAACCTGTTGCACTGGTATTATATCGTGTTGCTTTTTTCATTTGTTCATGTGTAAAGAGTACATCTTTAGTACCATATAAATCCAATGCACGACGTCGACCCATTAGAGATATACTTTCACGACGTAGAATAATTGAAGATGCACTATCACGATGTACACTCAATGGAGACAAACTTTCATGACGTTGCGTACTTGATGATGACCACTGCATTGGATAATTTGTTCTATGAACACCATTTTGTGAAATTCGATGAGCTGTTACGGATCGTCCACCAGCTAGTAACATACTCATTCTTTCGTTATTATCTAAGAAATTAGAATTAATATATATATATATATATTAAGATAAATATAGTTACATAATGAAAACTGATTGTATTCTATGAAAAATAATTATATGAAGAATATCCGTCATGCGGAAATAAAAACTAATGTTTTTTTTTTCTTTTACACCACAAAAAATGTATACGAAAGAATATTAAATGGACATCTTAAAAATTTAATAAATCTTCTCGAGTGTAATACAGCATGATTATTAATAAATGAGTAAATGTAAATAGAAAACAAATGAGACTATAATCATTCGGTACTCTACCTTTGATTAAGAAATGAGAAAATGGTTGTATGAAAATTCGATATCAACTATCTAATGTTAGAGAAAAAAAATGAATGTCGACACTTGCCGATTTATCAATTTATGAATGAACATTCAGATAAAAAATAAAAGGAAGACGACTCATTTCATGCTTGGTCACACACTACGACTATATGGACTATATAATCGAATCAATAAAGAAAAAAGTAGCGCACACAAACAACAAAGGCGCAAAAAAAAGAAATAGATTTTTATGATAGTATTATCAATGATGTATAATTTTTTTTTGAAAGAAAAATAATTCTACTATTCAAGTAATATATAATCTTCATGAATATTTTTACAAAAACTTCACATGCACACAATATGTTTGAGGAATTTTATGTTAAACTAAAGATGAAGAGACAAGAGTAAATAGTCACGATTTTCTATGAATAATATTATAAAACAGAGAAGCTATTAGAATATTATGCTAGTCACTGCTATTAACTTAATTGATGATAATGAAGAGAAAAAAGAAATCAATGCTAGAAATATACCAATACTTATAAAGCAATTCTTCTCATATTGACATAAACTAAACACTTTATCTCTGAAGCAATTTAATTAACTGTTTGATTTTTGCATTAATTCATGAAGAATGAGTTCGCAGATAAAAATGAATATATTTATCGTGTATTTTCTATACATGTAATTCTCATAACTAACACAAAAAATAAAACAATGTTTAATGTAGTTAATGCTTCAAAAATTTCTACGGAAACAAATTATTTGTTCGAACATGCGTTTTGTGCACACCCGTAGATTCTGCACCTCTGGTGTTTTCACGCGTTTCCGTTTTCCATTAATAATACAAATAATGAATAAAAAAACAAACACATCCATCGAACAATTCCGTTACAAACAAAAAAAGGAAATCAGTACTCAATTATCATTCTTTCGCTTTCTAAATATCTATATGATTCATAATTGCATCACGACATCAACAGTGAAGGTCTTTCTATTGAATAAAAAAAAAAAAACTCTTTCAATTTTGTATAGCAAATAGTAGAAGAACAAAGCGAGAAAAGAAATGACATTTATTTTCAGACAATGTTCTAGAATCTTTTATATAAGAAAAAGAAATTGTAAATGTTACTCGGACATTTTTGTTTTATTTATTCAAACTTCAAAATAAAATAACATTGATTAATTTCGAATAAAATAATTATATACAGGTTTTTCTTTTTTTAGTTCTTTGCTAATATGTGTCACAATTGTGAAAAGAATATATTCATTATATATATCATAATTTGAATCTATCATAGCCTTTGTGATTTTAATTATTTATTCTTATTATTTTACAAAAGAAAACAAACGAATAATAAAAAATGTACTGAAGAAAAAAGATCTTTAATATATGTCTGTATGTTTTAATATCATGAGAAATGTATTTCTTATCAACGGGAAAATACATTTGTTCTACCTAGTGGCTCATGAAGAAGATGGATGCTATGTTCTATCAGAATGGCGAATCAATTTGAACGCTTGTCGAGTACACTATGCAGTCATTCTTTTTTTTTTCTCAGGATTAAATGAAGCGATAGAAATAACGGATGCTCGATAATAAATGGCCGACTATTATTATATGTCTTTTGAGGCATCTAATGTGCTTTGTTTTAAAGTTTAGTTCTGATTTCATCGAATAGAAAGTTTATTTTGTCAAATAGAATATTCATGCTGACGTAAACTTTATGAGATTAATAACTATGAATTTGTGAAACTACAAACTCCTACTATTTTACAAATACAAAATGGTTTGTATACGCCAATATTCATACTAAAAGTTAAGTTTTGTATACTAAAAAAGAGAATTTTTTTGCTCTTCACACTTACAATCTCAACATTGTTACAAATATTTGTGTTTAGGAGAATAAAATTTTCCAACTAGGATATTTTGATGCATTATTTAAACATAATTCTTTCACAAGTTAGAGTTTTTCTACACAATGTTGAACTTTGTACGAACGGATGTAGGATTTAATTCTGAACAAAACGATGCGAATGTTTATTTGAGCAGTAGAAATATCTAGAGAGTATCGAATCAATCAAGAATAATAGCCCAGGTCAATTTGAGTAAAATCTTTTTAAAAATATTTACATTCTTCGTTTGAAAATTTGTCTTTCAAACTCTTTGCACTGAAGCTTTTTTTTTTGAGATCTTTCAAATACTTACTAAATGATATTTATTTTAAATAAAGTGAAATTTCACTTGTTAGTTTCAATAAGTTTTCGACTTATTCTTATAATAAAATATTAATAATGCTTGATGATACTGTCAGTAGAATGTTTTATCTTATGTTTCATGTGTAACGCAGAAGAATGCGGATGTTTTCTCTTTATAATTGATAAAAATAAGCATTTAATTCTTTTTTTTTTGGGTTGTTGTGAAACAAGATTAGAATTTTTATAATTGCATATTCTATATTCAGCGTTGTATCTCATAACAATTGAAGTAACAATAAAAGAAATTGTGTCCATGATGTAGACGATGATAAAAGCTGTTTTTTTATATAAACATTTCATATAATACATTTGATTGTAATGTAGACTATTTGTTTTTCAATGATGATCATTTTCTTCTTTGCTTTGATATATACAAATGTTTTACTAAGAAAATTTGAAGCATCTACAATAAAGATTATATGAAATGAAGCATTAAATTACATTAAAAAAAAAGCTTATTAATGCAGTTATTTTGAGGCTAAAATATGGAACTCGTATGTGTTATTTAGCTTCATTGTACTAATACAAAATGTGTAATGTGAAAAATCTCTAACAGACAATAGTTATTTTTCAAGGATAATCGATAGCGAGAGAAATGATCTGTCGTATTTATTTCCGCATTTCGAATAGATTTTTTTTTCTTTTCTTTATTATTATCCGTTCGTTTTTGTCTTCATTTTTGTATTCCGTTTTCCTTAATTAAACATTTTTATTATTATTCTAAAAATTGATTGAACTGGCAAATAAGACTGTGGGACATATCAATTATATCTACAGTAGGTCTTGACACACTATTGCATACCGCAATAAGCTCAGAAACATTGATATTAATTATTTCTTCAAGTTATAACTTGATCAGTTCACGCTTTTTATATGGATCATATAGCGCCTGTAGCAAATCAATGCATCATTACCTACTGGCGTTGATATCTTAAAGATAAATTTTTATCTGCGCAAAAATTAAAAAAAAAGAAACTATTTAAAACATTGACAAACGTATTCTAGCCGTTGAGTGTCATTTTCCACTGCTAAGAAACTCTGGGAAAGGAGTCTGATACCGGGTTTTTTCCCCTGTTACTATGCTAATGTATCCAACGAGTGATGACCTATTTCCTTGCCACTCGCTAGGTAAAATATACTCATTGACCACTACATTTCTGGCCGCCGTTGCTGTGACCGGGAAGTCATAAAACCTCGACTTAAAACTTACACTCACCATATTTTTCTTCAAAAAGGCAAATATAATTTTATCATGAACATTTTTCAGAAATAAATACAAATCGATTCTCAAAACAAGCATAAAATGTACAGGCCAGCAATGCTGTAATTTCAAATAACATCAACAGGAAATTTTATACGAAATTAAAGCGTGTCATAGAAAAGAATTTATCAGTAGTAAATAGTAAGGATTATAGCAAGTTTTTATTGTCGAATTCAAGAAATTCCTAAAAATTTTAAGCCATATTCGCAGAGAAAATTTTCTTCTATGATACAGTTTAAACTAGATTGCATATAAAATGATGAATATCACAAAATATTAGATGCCAGATCTGAAAATATTGAAAAGAATAATCAAAAATGAAGTTGAGAAAAATTGCTATTAGAGATGAAACACAATCATTATAATGAAAAAACTCTAAAAAAAAAACATACTTTGCACGTTTTGACAAATACGGAAAACACACTGACTTATTTGAAATTATTTTATGTTTGTATCCGTCTTATCTTCCTGTTGTAAATATACTTATGGTCCTCATACTGATTATTGATTATATTCATCATTATAAATGAGATCTAGTTTGAACAAGTTCATTAAAGAAAATTTTCTCTGCTAACACAGCATAATATTTTAGAAATTTCCTGTACACGGCACTCAAAAGTAGCCGTAATACTAACTATAAAGTATTGGTAAATTTTATTTTCGACGTACTTTAATTTCGAATAAAATTTCTTATCGATATTCTTTGAAATCACAGGATAACCACCATAGAAAAACATTTTTACCTACTTTGTACTAACATGAGTTATAGATTTGACACATAATTGACGTGTTAGATGTTGTCTTTTTAAGACAAAATACGTAATCAGTTCTTGATAGAAATATGGAACTAGATTTTAACCATAGAAGACTATAACTTGTTGATCCAAGAAAGAGAATAACGACAAACATTATTAAATGCCGGATGCCTATTATGATGCTTGTACAAAAAAAAAACATAAAGTATCAAATTGTCTGTTGTCATCAATGTATGTGAATATACAGTAAGGGTCGATAAAATCACTGATCTATACTAAAAGAAAAAAATAATAATAATACCTTCTTAGTAATTGACATTCGAAATGCGATTTTATGTAAGTTCACCATAAAAATCGATCTTGAGCCAAGTACATTCAAATCATATAAAATTTTCAGGATATGTTGAGACTCTAAGTGAAAATGCTATACTAAAATTTATTTTCAACTTTATATTGTCACGTTTTCGGAAGATGTTGTTCTTTTTCTTGAAACTTATAAATTTATAAACTAGTGTCGCTTTGTTCATTAATTAACCTTGACTTGTTTTTACTGATATAACTCTGATAAATGTAAGTCAGAGTCGAGTTTTGGCGTTCGATAAAGGATACTACGAACTATTCATCTATATGTTTAATGAATATTTATTTGCAAAAGCACTCAAGGTACTAGAAGTATGGTGTGTGTTAGAAAACGTATTCTGACATTCTTTTCCTCTGAATTCTATCATGATTAACGGAAATTGTGTTTTAGTAATATGAAAAACTAGTGAGTCGTTATATTTATTTAGACATGCAAAAAAATTGGTCTTCTCCTAATTATATTCGTTAACGAAACGAGATAGATGAAGAAAAAATTTTTAGACATAATATCTCGTATATCTATGTATAGTTATTCTATTCGTATATATATTTCATTAAAATTAACTATTGGATTATAGATTTTAAGTTTAAAACTTTATTGAGATTGCTATGTTTTTTAGAATATAACAAAGAATAAAATGTAACTTTGTTTAATTTTTCTATCAAATTGTTGTTGTTCACACAAGTTCGATATATCATATCTTTTACTTTAATAATTTCTTTTGAAGATACTATAAATTTCATCATATTAATTTGAGTATCTATATCAGGTGTTGTCTTCAATTTATCATCTCTTTACGGCTTGCGTGAAAATTTGGCGTTCTTTTCTAACGAGAGAACTACCTGAATTGATACTCATCGTTAGAGCTCATATTAGGTTCACAACAAGGCCTTGATGAGACTAGAAAAATCGAAGTAAAGCAGTCATAACTCAATTCCAGAGACTCATGGAGATGAACTCTTTTAGGATTTTTTTTGTCTCACCGTAACCTCATTATAAGCCTAATATGAGACCAAATAGCGGGTATTAGTACTAGTAGTTCCTCATAATTTTCAACAAAAAAAAAACTGATTACAAAAATCAAAGTTGAGTTTTCTTTGATTGTTTTGTCAAAACACATATTGTCTATTTGCATACTGATTTATTGATGGTGAACTTAAGCAAAGATTTTTATTCAATTGAGATAAACTGAATGCAATCGGAAACAACTAATCTAATATTTTGATTTTTATAAAATCTAATGTTATTTGAATAAGTATTGCTTTGATTGTGAAAGAATTGATTTTATTATTATATAAAAATGCACTTTGGCTAAATTGATGAGCAAATTGTCAGCTAATGATTATATAAAGCACGTATAGTTTTTGGACTAATGTGTATTCTGGTGGATGATAATTCAGTTCATTATTTTTACTATAAATCATAGTGACTTTTCAGATCAATGCATAATTAAATATCTTAAAACTAGAGCAAAATCAAGTCAGTAGAAAAATTTTATAATATCTTTATCCAATGCCATCTGTTCTGTTTTGTTTAAATCGACGATCGAGAGCGGACGGTAGTGCCATGGAAACATAAACACAAATGTCTATGATATAAAATCGATAATAGAAAATTTTTTCTTTCGTTCTTTTGCATTAATCGAGTAAGGTGAAGTGAAAGAGCCCATACATAAATAATGACCACATTCGCTCGTCCTTCATTGCTCGATAATCGTTATGCAGATATAGCCGAGACGAGTATATTCACCTATGATGATAATGATCTTGTTAATTATGCTGATTTTCTTCGGTAAAAAAGAAACAAATATCAAATAATGATTTAATTTTTTTTTATTAATATTTAGAAAACATGGACGTTATATGACAAAATCAGGTTATGTTGATTCATCTCGACGTGTTCGTTCACTTCATCGACAACAAGATGATTTACTTTTATCACAACATCATGCATCACCATCAAGAGGTGGTTTACTTGCTTCAATTAATAAATCATCTTTATCATCATCAGCCCCGCCACCACGTTCCACAACACCGAAAAAATTAAAACAACCAACAGGAAATGAATTACCTTCTGTTATATCGATTTCAAAAAATCTTGAAAATAAAAAAAAAGAATATGATAAACAAATGAGACTTATCGAGGTTTATTTTTATTTAATAAAAATAAATCTATTTTAAAATTATATATATATATAAATAGGAACAAATGATAAAAGCTAAACAAACTGAACGTGAAGGAAAACGTTTAGAAGGTGATGTTAAAAAAGAACAACGACATTTACATCATACACTTAAAGAACTCGATATTGGTAAGAAAAAAAAAAAATTCAAAATTTTTTTTTTTATGAAATTTATTTCTTTTCAGATGCAACGAGAAAACATTTTGATGCTGAAAAAAATTTATCAAAAAATCTTGAAGAAAGAGATAGAATTGAAAGAGAATTTTTAAAGAAAAAAGAACAGGTAAATTTTTATGAATACTAAATAAGCTTGAAGTCAATCATTTTCTATAAAGCCATATAAAAACATATTTTATCGGTTTCTTAATGAATAATAACTTTTAAATATATTATTCAATATTTTATCTAATAGAGATGACACATAATAAATAAGCAAAAATGTTTTCTTCTCTTAAAGTACACTTTTCAATATCTTTAAGATTCAGTTTTAGACTGATGTCGTAAGACATATTGTCGTGCTAGAAAAAATTGTTGACTTTGTTTTGACAGTATTCTTTGTCTTATTAACGTAAAATTGCAATGATTCCAGTTTATTCAATTGTGAAAGTGCGATCTCGTATGTTATGCAAACATCGATTGATTTGTTTTTCTACGTCCGATGCTAACAGTAAGTAAAGTATTTAACATCAATAGACCGATAATGTTGTGCTCTAAGGTTTCACGGCTTTTTCAAGGTTTTTGGCACTATAGTTTCAGGGAAAAATAGTTTGGAATTAATGCCTAACAATGTTTTAGGAAACTATATGTTTTAAATGGTTGGTTTGTTCTAGAAGACATTGATTTTCATGATATGAAATGTAAAATTGAATTATGTACACAAGAATACGATTAAGGTTATTTTCAATTAAAAAGGTTCAATGGCAAAGATTTATCACGGACGAAATTTTGTACATTTTTTTTTTTCTTAAATTATTAGACATGTATTAAAAGATGCAAAATTTTAGCTGAATTGTTATCAAGAACTTTTCTTTCTTTGAACATCACAATTGGATAATTGAGTAGAGATGGTAATATTTTTAATTATATATTGATAAGAAAAATATTTTGTCAAAACCAAATCAACAATTTTCTAGTAAAAAAAAAAATTCTCTATTGAACGAGTCTATAATCAAGTCTTTAAGTATATCGAGAAAAATTCTTAAACGAAGAACATATCGGTTATTTTAAAATATTCGTTTTAAACATTTTCATTCAGTATAGAAGAACACATTCTCAAAATTCATTTATCTTCTTGCCAATTATAATCAAGTCAAAACAAGTTTGTTAATCTTTTGACGCAAGTCATTTCAGTAGAGTAAACAAAATAATTTCCTCATTATACATTTTCCACATCGTAATTTAATATTCTACTTACAATCATAATCCCTATAACAAATATTGTAGGCAAAACAAAAAATAATTATATGATTTTATTAACTTTCTTTTTTTGTTTTTCTAAATAGCAAACAAAACAACGAAGTGATCATACGATTGATTCATTACAAATTAATAAAGATAAAGATCGTCAGAATATACTTGTTTGTAATGATCTTGCACGAAAATATCGAACAAAAGCAACTGAGCTTGAAATGAAACATCAACAATTAAGTCAACTTCATACTGAATTTGAAAATAAAGTTCAACAAAAAGAAGTTTGTTTTGTTCAATAGAAAATTAATAATAATAAATACTTATTAATTAATATTTAGTTAGAAGAAAATCGAGTTAAAAAAGAATTAGGTGAAATAGCTATGGCACTTAATTTAGAAGCTCAAAAAGCTAAAATTGAAATGAATGAATTTTTAAAGTATGTTTAAAATATAAAAAATTTATTATTAAACTAAATAACAATAATTAACTCATTTTCTAGTGTTATGGATCGTGATCGTACTCAAACGATTAAACATGATCTTGAACAGGAACAAAAATTCGAAGAACGACTTAAGTAAATTATCTTTTCATCTATATGAATTGACATCAAATTCTGCTCGATAGAAAAAATTGATAACCGTATCAAAAGATAACAGTATTCTTCGAATAGATTCTTGTTGTATTCAACGAGAAATTAAATCATATCTAAAATCATTCATCTGACAAGGGAACCTTCCCAGGTGCCAGAGCGCTTTTCAGCCGGAGTTTTGCGCATCTTGTAGCCCATAGTGAGCTATGTCTGTGGTAACAAAAAGTTCGTCCCCCTGG